GTCCCTTGTAGCAGCTGGTGACACTCTGCCTGGTGCCACCAACGTCAATGGACAAGTGAATGTAAGGCACATACCATCCCCACTCTGCCTTGGTGAATCAGCTGATCCACGATGCTTTTAGGCTTCTTCCAACAGTGTCGACATGTTCAATCCATGCGGTCGTCATCCCACATTCGATTTCGCGAATTTCTCGACCATCAATAACAACAAGCCGCAATCCGCGACCACACCTCATGCAGACGCGAAGAAGGTCGAGAACCAACTGAAAGCCGAACAGTTGAGAGCAAAATTGATGGCTCAGCGCCAGAATACTCCTTTGAAACAACAGTCTCGTGCCAACACCCCCAGCAAGTCATCATCGGTAGCTCCAGTGCCTCAGTCCGCACCCCAGCAGAAGTCCAAGCAAATCGAAGCAAAAGAACAGCAGCAACCGCCGGAAGACGTCTACGGCATTGCGGACTTGCTCGCAGAAGGTAAGGCGGCTGCGGACAAGGCGGCTGCGGCGAGGAAGATGCAACAACAGCCGGCAAAAATGCAAGAGTCCTCTCAACCCCCTAAAATCGATGTGCCTACGAAAATTGTTGAACCAGTGCAGACCCAACAGCAGGATATGCCGCCCCCAAACAAGACCCAACCACGAACTGCAGTCTCGGCAGCGGAGAGCAGGACGGCACCCGCAGGCCCTCGACCAACGCGCCCAAACAAAGTCACAGACGCATACTATGCTGACCTTCCCATCTGGCTTGAAATCACCGGCTACCATGACGTCGAATTCAGAACATCCAAATTGCGCACCTTCAAGGAGCGCCAATCTTTGGAAGCGGAAGCTGCCCGTATCCAAGAGCGTCTTGACAAGCTGCATGACGACGAACAAGCCACGATCACATCTATTCGCACTGCACGTGCTCATTCTACAGCACCAGTTCAGCGTCCAGCACTCCCGGATGTGATCCCAGCACCGAACGCCACCAAGCAAGCCCAGAACACCAATCACGCACTCGTCAATGGCAACAAGCGTGCACACTCTCCCGACCCTACCCAGACATCCAAGTTACGCCGTGAAGATTCGACGAATGGCTTCCGCATTCGTGGTGCCAACGGCTCCCCGGATGATCGCGCTTCGACAGCTCGCGGCCGACTACGCAGTCGATCCCCAGCCTCGGTCGGCGGTCCACTAGAGCGTAGAACCTCGTACCCAGATGCGCGACGCTGCTCTGTCGACGATCGCAACAGCCGTACTGCTCCACCAAGGGCTGATGCTCGTGATTTGTCTTTGGAGCGGCGCCAGACGTACTACAAGCGCGAGTCCGACGCTACCGCTTTCGACGGCTTCGAGAGGGACAGGCATGCACCTCGCACTGGTCGTTTCTCCCCTCGCGGAGGGTATCAAGGTCGCGCCCGACTCAGTTATGGCGGCAACATCCCGAGAGACGACGCTCCTGGCAACTACCAACACTATCGCGGCAGCGCGAACCTGGATCTCCGACGAGGTGGTAAGCATAACTTTCATTAGTCATTGTCAATTCATGCGAACAATGGTGTTGGAGGTATTGGTGGCGGCGGCGCGGCGGCGGCAGGTACTCTGTGGTAACTTGCGTTCTTGCTTGCCACTTATCTTACTTGCTGATGCAGCTCGATGAAAGGCGTCCGCTATTTCATGATCAAATCTTGGAACGCACCAAACGTCAGCAATGCTATGCGTGACGGACTCTGGCAAGTAGACTTGGGTGAAACATCTCTAAAATGCTGCTAATCTTCCGCCTATTATTTTCAGGGCTACGCAAGAAAAGAACCAGCGACTTCTGACCGAGGCATACGAAACTTCACGACATGTTATCTTGCTCTTCTCGGTGAACAAGAGCATGGCTTTTCAAGGCTACGTGAGTACCAAACCATGATCAGACCTTCCTTCGAGTCCACTGACTGACACGATCCTCCCGCAGGCACTCATGACATCCCCACCCGACCCTTCCCTTCCCAAACCACCTTTCTGCGCGAAACTCAACTGGCCCACTTCACCGGCTTTCAAACTGCGTTGGCTTGCTACGACGTCCGTTCATTTCAAGTATATTGGACACCTGAAGAATACGCTCAACGCTGATGAGGACAACCAACCTATGGCTGTTTTCATCGGTAAAGACGGACAGGAGATCAGCACGGATGCTGGTATGGGCGTTGTTGAAATTTTGGACGATGCTGAGCAGGCTGCTGGGCATGGTGGATTTTAATGGACAACAATTGCGGTGCTTCGAACATGTGTTAATACGGTATGGATAGGAGGTTGCTTATGGTACTGGCAGATTATGTCTGCGTAGTAGGCTTTGTAAGCTACTTCAATCGATTATCAACTTCATGGACTCTCATCCTTCTGTCTGTTCAATTGCTTGCTTTCGTTCCTACCCCCTACAGGTACACTCGGTCTTTGATGAAGTGGATGGGTGACGGCATCCGTCAAACGCCGATCAACTCGACTCGAGCTCTTCACGGATGATCTCGTACCGAATGACAAGCTCGAAATACATGTACCAGCGATGTCGGTTGTGGTCACAGTGATCCTTCGGAGACCACAAACTAATCGCAAAGCTGTCCATATCCACCATCCTTCGACACAGCCATAAACTGGTTACAAAGTCTTCCAGCAGATTACAACATCGTCACTCAAAAAATGCAGATACTCATCACCGGGGCGGGCGGTTTCCTAGGCCAACTACTCGCAGAACACCTCCTCAAAGATGGTCACACATTGACCCTAACAGACATCTTCGAACCTCCCGTTCCTCTCGGCGCCACCGACCACAAGGACAAAACCACCTGCATCAAAGCCGATATCCACGATGAGCCAAACTCTGTGCTCTCCAAGGACCTCGACGCCATCTACGTCTTCCACGGCATCATGTCCTCTGGCAGCGAAACCAACTTTGAACTCGGCTACCGCGTCAATCTGCACAGCACGCTCAACCTCCTCGAAGCCGTCCGCAAAACTTGCCCAGGCGTGCGACTCATCTACGCCTCCTCGTGCGCGGCGTACGGACAACCGCTTCCGGAATGGCCGTCTGAGTCTACCATCCCGACGCCGTCGGGGAGTTACGGGACCCAGAAAATTATGATTGAGCAGATCGTTAATGACTACAATCGTCGCGGGATCATCAATGGGATTAGTTTCCGCTTCCCAACTATCTCTGTCCGACCGGGCAAACCGTCGCAGGCTGCGAGTAGCTGGATGAGCGGTATGATTCGTGAGCCCTTGCAGGGTTTGGAGAGCGAGTTACCTGTTGACGATGATTTCGAGTGCTGGCTAGGCAGTCCGAAAATTCTGGCGGAGAACTTGGTGTTCGCGCTTACGATTGAGCAAGATGCTATGCCGCCGCATATTCGACAGGTCAATATGCCTGGAATTACTGCTACAGTCAAAGAGATGGTGCAAGCGCTGCGAGAGGTTGGAGGTGAGGAAGCTGTTAAGCTTGTGAAGAAGAAGCCGTTGGATCCTGAGACGCAGAAGGTGTTGGAGAGCTGGTCGGTGAGGTTTGATGTTTCGAAGGCGTTGGGGTTGGGGTTCAAGGCTGAGCAGCCGTTTCAGGGTGCAGTCGAGGACTTTGCCGCGAGTCTGAAGCAGCAGGCGTAGGTCGATGAGATTGTGGAAGATAGTCATAAGTATGCAGATTTATGTTCATTGACATAAATTTAAGCTTTACCACTGCTGCCAATATGGTCCATCCATTCCTCGCACATCTTCTGTATTAGATCTGTGCCTTCGTCCATCGCAGTTGTGAGCGGCTTCTTACCTGTGTGCTCCTTTGTGTAGTCGAAGTAAGGATCCATCACTAGCTTGTTCACGTTGACCCGTGTCACTCCAAGCTTGATGCACTTCTTCATGATGTCTGGCGGAAACCCATTGGTGCCATGTAGCACGATCTGGACTCTTCCTTCCGACTTCTTCTGGATCGCCTCTAACCTGCTCACTTATTAGCACCGTCCCATACACAGCCAATTACCAACCGTTTCACTCACCTCTCATAATCCAACTTAATGTTCTCCACACCGCCGTACTCCCCATGTACATTTCCGAACGCAGGCGCCAAAAAGTCTATACCTGTAGCGATGAAGTCGTCCACCTCCTCCGCCGTTGTCATCATACCCTCCAGATCTGCTGTGTCCGCCACGCCATCCTCACCCCCTTCAATCCTGCCTGGCTCCGCCTCGGTAGCAATCCCCTGCTCATGACACAGCGCAACCAACTCCTTCGTCTTGGCCAAATTCTCCTCCTTCTCATAATGGCTCATATCAACCATAATGCTATCAAACGCCGGCGTCCCGTCCTCCGCTTTAATCAGCGCGACTTTCTTGATCACCTCTGGATCCTGCGCGTGGTCCATGTGGAGCGTTACTGGAACCGTGGCGGAGCGGCAGGCGTGGGCCACGAAGTCGATGAAGAGGGGGGAGTACTTGTATGCCCAGGGGAAGAGGAGGATTTGGATGGGGGACTTTTTGGCTTCAGCGGCGCGGATGCAGGCGACGAGGGTTTCCATATTGTAGGTTACGACGCCGAGAACGCCGTATTGGCCTTCACGGGCGGCGTTGAGCATTTTTACTGCGCGGTTGGAGGAGAGCTTTTGGAGGGCCATAGTTGCGGTGGTGGAGGGGGAGAGATTGGGACTGTTATTTTGATGTTGGGCCAATCGAAGTATAGGAGAAGTACACGTATGGAAGGACCGGGACAGTGAGAAGATCGAGGAGATAGAAGAAGAGTACTTGACCTTGTCCTCGCCGAGACTATACTGCCTGTAGTCGACCACATTTCCCGAGTTTATCCATTGGCCACCCCACCAGGAGTTGTAAGGATGACGGGGGCGGGGTGTGTTGAGCCGAAGTGAGGTTGTCGGCGTTTGAGCGTAGCAAGTTCGGCTAAACTCCGGTCCCATACAATAAGGGTATATACAATTTTGTGAATCATGCTCCTCACCAAATGCAAGCATAAGCTTGTGATCTTGCCAACCAAACCTGGCACTTTGGCGGAGTGGTTAACGCGCTGCCCTGCTATTCCTTAATTGGAGAGTGGATAAGGCAGTTCCTTCGGGAGCGAGTGTTCGAATCACTCAGGTGTCGTTTAATTTTTGACTGGTTTCTGTTCAATATTTGTTCAATTCATACCAAGTATTCAAGTTAATCAACATCAAGCAAACAAATATCTCGGAGAAGGATTTTCGAGGGCCTTCTTTTTGTTGCGCTTTTTTCCAACCGTGAAAGGACTTCTTCGTTCGCATGCTTTCTACAGCCGATAGCAAGCGCCAAACAATGTGGCTTCTCACTTTCACATGCCTAGACTTCAGACAGACTTTCAACTACTTTTGCGCCTCGGTAGACGGTATGCCGGCGGTCCGGGTATGGTCGGAGACGGTGATGCTGTGGTAAGAGCACCTCATGCACGCCAGCCTTACCATATCAGAGCGATCAATTATGTTACGTCTGGTCACCCGCACGACCATGATTTCCAACATTTCTTAACGTAATCATGGTAAGTGCGGAAATGTTGCGATAGTTCAACCTCCCATAATCCTGCCCGCCCTTTCTCATACACACTTCCACCTTTCAATTTTCAATCCAGAAACCTCAAGACATACAGGCCCTTCCAGCAGAGCTCAATGGCGACAACGAACGGAGTCTCAGGCTTCAACACCATCCCCGAAGCCATCTCGGCCTTCAGCCGCGGCGAATTTATCGTTGTACTCGACCAGCAAAACCGCGAGAACGAAGGCGATCTCATCATCGCAGCCTCTGACTTCACACCCTCGAAATGCGCCTTTATGGTTCGCCATACGTCTGGCTTCCTCTGTGCCTCTATCCTACCTTCGCTAGCCGCTCAGCTCGAACTCCCGCAAATGGTCAATCATAACGCCGACCCCAATCGAACTGCTTACACCATCACGATCGACGCTTCAGAGGGCGTGACTACAGGCATCTCTGCGCAAGACCGGAGTCTGACGTGCCGAAAGTTGGCGGAGGCGAAGGTGCGGAAAGAGACATTCAGACGACCAGGTCATATCGTACCACTGCAGGCACGAGAGGGTGGGGTGAGGACGAGGGCGGGGCATACAGAGGCTGCGATAGAGTTCTGTCAGTTAGCTGGGAAGGCGCCGGTCGGTGTGCTATCGGAGATCGTGGAGGATGGAGAGGAGGTTGAAGGACAGGCAGAGAGGAGTGGTGGGTTTGGGATGATGAGGCGGGATGGGTGTTTGGCGTTTGCGAAGAAATTTGGGCTGATGGCGGTGACGATTGAGGATTTGATATGGTATCTTGAGGAGGTGAGGTCGAAGGAGTGAAGTGGAAGCTGGGGAGGAATTGTGCGAAAATCATTGTCAAGAAGAATCAAGGCTGCGAAGCCGACTGTCTATATCATGCCAAAGAGTGCGAGCATTGCGCGAAATTGAATACCGTAACACCTCAGCTCAAAAGCGGCAGATAAATCAAGAATCAAATCCTTCAGACAATCCCCCGATGTGGACAACGCAGACCACGTCCACCGGCCACTTTTCGCATATCAATCCCAGCCCGATGGAGACTTTTGATGTCTCGTAGCTCAATCCAAACGACGGGCTCCACGACCCAAGCTCCTCCAACACCTTCGCAACAGCGCAGCAAACTAATTCAGTCAGTCTCCGGACAAACACGACCCTGTGTGGGGATGACCATACCTTGGTATTCTTAGTCCAGCAACGAGTGAATTCATAAAATCGTACAGTCATCAGCATTCCCGGATTCAAGCACCGATCGGCTCAATCGACAGTTCATTGCGGTCCACGACACGAGTCGGCGAGGTACTCCTCGACGCAGGCCTAGAATTCGTGGGCGTAGTCTTCCTGCTCTCTGCTCCTGCAATCGCCTCCTTGCGCTGCGGTCTCTTCTCAGCACGTACCTGCTCCAGCTCTTGCGCATACGGACTCCTTTTGCGGAACCACGCGCCGTAGTAGTAGAACACGTAGACCGGAATCGTCAACAAAACTCCGATGGCGGTCAGAATCAGCGATGGCGCCGTAAGCTGCCACTTGGTTCCGTTGGCGATGTTCTCATACAATGGCCGAGTAGCGGGTGCAGAGACACCAGCCAGGAGGTCGCGGCAGAAGCCGTTGCCACCAGTAGCGGAGGCGGCAAATGGGCCGTATGCTGCGATCATGTAATCGATGGTGGCCATGTAGATGGCGAAGTTGGCGACACCGATGAGGAAGGCTCCGATTAGGGGGACGATCCAGTGCACATCTGGCGGGCCGAAAGCACCGAAGCTCCAGATCAGAAGTCCGATTGGCATGAGAGGGCCGAGCCAGAGGAGTAGCCAGAGGCGCCGTTCAGGGGTGCATTTGTCCGGTGTCTCTTGCATCATTTTGCGATCATAGTAGTAGCGGGGCATGAAGATTGCATAGGCGACAATGTAGCCGAGGAGGATTGAGATGAAGGACAGACCGGTCTGAATGGCCGTGAAGTTCCACCTGCCCATGACGAGGCCAAAGGATTCGAGGCCGACGTAGATGAGGGCGTCCGCGAAACCGGAGAGGAGGGAGAGGAAAAGGACGATGGGTTCGGTGCCGAGGAATTTGTAGGGTCGGAACATCAGTTTGAGAGAGTGCATCGTAAAGATGCGCTTCGCTAAGGGGCCCTCAATCTCATTTGGGCCGTAGATGTTTGGGTCGATGCCTGTTGCAGATGTCAGTAAATTGGTCCAAGGACGAAGGGTGGAAGGAGTGAGCCTACCAAGTTTGCGCCGCCTCTTGGCTTCTCGATCAAGGAGGACACTGGCGCGAGTCTCAGGTGTAAAGGCGTGGAATAGTTGTGCGACAGCACCGAAGATCAGCGAAATCCAGAAGACCCACTCCCAAGGTAAGTATGTCTGAATGAATCCGCCAGCGATAGGAGCGATTACCGAGCCGGCAACAGACGATAACACGACATACGCCACAGCATACTGCTGATCTTCCGGCTCCCACATGTCGGCTACCATACCCAGCGTAACGCTACCACCGGCCGAAGACAAACCACCGAGAGCACGGAAGACCAGGATGTATGTGAAGCTCCGTGCGAAACCGTTCCCGAATTGCCATACGTTGACCAGGGATAAAGAAGCCTGCATGATCGGCCATCGCCCCAGTTCCTCGGACCACGGCGCCCACAGCTCGCAGCCGAAGGCATACAAGATCAAGAACACCATCATTCCCAGCATTGACCGAGCGTGCGAGGTGCCAAATTCGGCCTTGAAGCCGGGGACAGCGCTGCCGTAGATGGCGGCATTGAAGTTCATCGAGAGTTGGACGATGAAGACGGAGGTAATGATCCACCACTTCTTCCAGACTGGAAAATTGAAGCCTAGCACCGCGTAGGCCTCTTCTTCGGTGAGTACGCGACGTGGGTCATCTTCAGGAGCCTGCGCGACCTGCGCGGCGCCCTCTTTATTGAGTGGAGAGAGTGCGACGAGACCGTCGGAATCGGAGTTGCTGGCCACGGGGTGGACGCTGGTCTGAATAGACTTGTCGCTGGTCTTGCGACGAGCCATTGGTGTGTGGAATGTTGAGACCCGGTGGCGGGAGGTTGAGTGGTGGAATGATTGACATGCAGGTTCAACAAGCGTTCGGGGCTGTCGTGGTTTGATGCTTGTCTTGGTTGCTGCTATGGTGTCAGTCCTGGCCACGGTACTCGGAAAGGTTGAAGGAGAAGCAGAGATAAGATGCACCAATCTACTCGAGCAACAGGAGATACGCACTTGTTGATATCTTTTGCCGAATGCGCTTCTGGTTGCGTTGGACTGTTCTGTGGGAACGATGGGGAGGGAAGAGTTCCCAACGTGGGAGGGAAGAAATACTTAAAGGCTTGTGGATTCCCACGGCCCTCCATGTAAGTTCACACTCTCGAAATTCGAGCTTCCTAGATGTGATCAGCATATTGGGTGGCTCCACTGAAGAGTTGGAGGAGGTGTAGGAGAGGTTGTAATGGTAAGCATATCTCCAGATTAGGGTAAAGTCAATCTTTGATAGTCACTTAGCTTTAGGCCTACTCCACTCCTACCACTGGAGCACTGCTACTAGACCTTTTCCTGCCCTATAACTCTGCTTACTCCCGATGTCTTGTTCCCATTCTTGTCTCCGCTCCATACTGGTTACTTCTTGACAGTCACGTGCCCGCTTCGTTCAGAAGCTGGCCACCATCTTCGCCTCCAGCAGAGCCATCAAGCTTACTTTCCGCAGCCTGTCCCACCTGCTCCAGAACCAGATTGTCTGCCATCGCGTCCGAAGTCTCACCATCTTAAGCTCCAGCGGAAACATCAAGCTTACCCTTCAGTTCCGCGACCTCTCCCACCTGCTCGTCAATCTTGTCTTCTGCCTCCCCTTCCGAATTCTCGCCGTCTCCATCTCCGCCAGAGACGACAAGCTGGCCCTCCACTTCCGCAACCTGTACCATTTGCTCCGGAATCTTGTTTTCTGCCACCTCGTCCGACATCTCACTGTCTTGACCTCCAGTAGAGACATAGAGCTTGCCCTTCAATTCCACGATCTCTCCCGCCTGCTCCGCAGTCTTCGCCTGTGCTTCCTCGTACGACTTCTGGAGCTCAGCGATCTGATCTTTCTGCTGTTCGGTCACCATACTCGCTGTTTCGATTTGATTCTTCTGCTGCTCGGCGCTCACTTCCGCCGCCTCGATCTCACTTTTCTGCTCCTCGATAGTCTTCTTGGCTGCCGCTAGCTCCGCCTCGAGCTGGGTAGCGTATGAACCGCTGTCGTAGCTCTCTACCGCAGTGGGGACAGGCGGCGGCACCACGACCTCATTGTTGGCCTGCTGTCCAGTGGATAGCTCTGCGAAGAGGTCTGGTTGCTCATCAAGCTTCTTGCGCGGCGGTGGGGTGGGTCCGGCCTCACCTTCATCCTCATCGTCAGACGAGTTGAGGAAGGGCCCTACCGGTCTGCTGCTGTGTGATCTTTGGCGACTGGGACCGTCTTCCAGCTCCTTATCTTTCTCCTCGTCCTCGTCACCTCCGACATTGGACGGCTCGTACATGGATGCGAGCATTCGCCTCTTGACCGGCCTCTCGTCTTCTTCGTCCATCCACAGCCGCTCCCTCTCCACCG